ATTATATATAAATATCTGCGGACACAGTCTAAGAAGAAGACGTGACCCACATGCGATGACTAGTTCCTGCACCACATCGAGGGCCATGGGCTGACGTTAAGTTAGTTATAGGAAGCAAAAGAGGCTGTTAGGTTTAGGTTTAGATTAGGTTTTGTTAGGTTAACTTAGATTAAGTCATATGATGATATATCTTAAGTTACATAGAGTGTTAGACACTCTAACGATGTTGGCATTAATTATACGTAGAATAAGTAGCAGTAAGAAGTACATAAACTTAGCTGAAAATAAATATGTTCCAACGCCTGGCAATGATGGGCGGATCTAAGGGGGAGGTCATAGAGTCATGACCCCCCCTGCGTTGGGCTCATATCGACTAACGATAATTTTTCTAGTTTCATAGGCAACAAAAGACTGAATTTCTACTACTTGACCCCCCTGACTCGAAAGCTGGATCCGCCCCCGCACTAATAGTGTTTAGTTAATTACCAGAGAAGCTCCTGAAGCAACTTGCAGGCCTTTGAGGTAAGTGAAACACTAAAAATAGCAGAACATTGGTGATCTATTGAAAAACCTACACAAAGTCAGCCCCAAATTACTGGGCAGCGCTATTGGACTATAGCCATTGCATAGCTGCGTAAAAGGCAATCGCCCGGACCTTCAGGTTGCTCACTCACTCCATTAGCAAGCTTTTGGCTCGCAACTAAATACTCGTTAAATCTGCTTTGGAGAAATTCATCTATCACCGTGAACGTCCCTAGAGTGTAGAAGCACATAAAGCACAAGAACAACTCCAACGGGTTTTATTGAGTTGTGAAGTCCAAATAGATGTCGGCGTCAAGGGCTTGCTTCATCTGCGGTCAGCACACAAGCACAAAACAAAGCAGCGTGTTGATAAAGACAAAGAGTTTGAGGTTCTCCAAACCCTCCTCAGAGCTGAGCCACCGGGAGAACGTCCGTCCTTCCACTATGTCTTGCTCCGTTTGGTTGCTTAGCTGCGATTTCCTGTTAGTTTGATTCTTCATGACTATCAACTGGCCAAACTGAAGCCCAAACGACATGGAGTGAACTCAATTGAATTAGTCAAATATTTAAGCGCTTTATTAGATTGACTCCCAGTGCATAACAAAATCTGTTTTCAAAGGCACCTTGGCCTTTTACTTTAAGCTCGAAGGCGGTCTTTTCAAAAGAATCGAGCTGCCACTGGGTCGGATGACGGTGATGTACAGGAAGTACAAGGTTTGGGCCGCAAACCAGGCCCAGTTATTGACTTTTAGGCCCAGTTATAGATTTTTTTGTGTGACAGCCAGCAAACAATCGCAATTGCGAGAGATGATGGCTGGTTGAATTGCTATCGAAACTTTGCAGCTACATTGATGGTTACCTTTGGGCTGATCCTGTGGATTTCGTTTGCAGGATATCGGCGTCGACACTTTTTCATAGCGATGTTCCATATTTCGCAGATTCAACGTGGATCCGCCGTTAATGTTGGTCACAGACGCACAACTTCCGCTGTAAAATTGGGCTTTCACATACTTAAAATTTGCCGAACTCACACTCTTGACCCTGAAGATGTGGAGAAAGCTTGGTACACGTTTAGGGCCTGTTTGGCTCGGGTCATCGTCAGAACGGCTCATTTTCCGCGCTTTAAGAGGCCACATGGGAATCTACTGGGGGATTTGGACACT